GCATTTCTACTTCTTAGCCGCTCTTTTGAAGGACCAACCCACGTTCTCTTTATCTGGATCCTTCGTGCGAGCTGCACCCACCCATGCCGCCAAACTAACCCATCAGCTGCGCTCCTCTTCCTCCCCCCATCTACTCGCTCGACCCTGAAAACAAGCCCCTTCGGCATGGCACACCGACCGACGTCTCGGCTATTCCTTTTCGTCGGCCTTGCAGTATTTTTTCTATTGACTCTCACATTCCTTCGGCAAAACTCTCCCCCAAGTCCGGCTGCCCGCGCGCCAGGACACGTCGACAAGTCGATTCCAAATGTCGAAATAACGGATAAAATGTTACACGGGGGGATAGTGATGCCAAAGCTGGGAAATGAGACTGCGAAGTAAGCTAGCTTCCGGCTTCCTTCTACGGCTTGTGTGTTTGCAGTCACGGATCTCGCCGCTATACCCCAGAGAAGTTATGCGGTGGACGAGACACAGCCGACGACAGAATCTAGAATACCGTTATGTGGACTGCAGGCTAATGTAACGGAATTGACAGGGCAGAACTCGGCCGAGCATCCTGGAAACTTTTTCACACCATGATGGCTCGGTTTCCAGATGAACCATCACACGAGCAGCAAGAAACGTTACGATCATATATATACCTATTTTCGAGATTATATCCCTGGTACGTTTCTATTCCTGCTCTCATTGTCATTTCTATCCTACATGCGCTAACGAACGTCTTGTCGATTACAGTGGCGAATGTGCCTCCCATTTCCAGTCCCATCTTGCGAAATTCCCTCCCCAGGTGTCCTCACGGTCTGCAGCTGCTGCTTGGGCGTGCCACGTACATAATGAAGTAAACAAAATGCTACATAAGGATATCTTCGACTGTAGCAAGATCGGAGATTTCTATGACTGCGGATGTGCACACGATGAAGAGGGGGAGGGCGCGGGAGGCCAAGGGGCGGCCGGAAAACAAGCCCAAGGGGCTCCCCCGGGCAAGGAAGAAATGGACGAAAGTTCAAAGAGAAAGGTTCCCCAAGATGGAACCACATCGAACCCGGATACATCTCCTCCTGTGGAAATCAACGCGGAACCGTGAGTCTTGCAACGCAATACTGGCCTAGTTTTCCCCTCCTAAGGCATGGCATATGCATACTAACATGAAATCAGGCAAACAAATGGTTAATACTGCGTTTACACTTCGTTTCTTTCATGTTTTCTATCCCGTCCAGCCCGGCGTATCATGGCGTTTCCACACAAGCATTTCGATACAAGTCAATATCTTGCCCCGTTTGAACAGCAAGGTGTTTTCGGCATCTCATTTTCAAATCCCGTTCCTATATACCGCCAATTATCTTGATTTACCCCTTTTGTACAGTATACGAGCAGGCCTCGCTCTATTTGAGAGAGAAATAACGGAAACGGAACGAAAATGAGGAGGGAAAAGATGCCATTTTTTACCATGTATTTTTAGCATAGCGGGAAACAGGGTATCGAGAAAAATTATGGTATTCGATTCTCCATTATTGATTCCTTCTTCGGGGCAGCGATTTCCTTATCGATCACTTTTCCGGAAACTAGCATGATTATTACACACCATTCGCAGCCCGTCATCCAAGACAATTGTCCTATACCCTCTTCGCTAGTGAGGTTGCTCACGGACGACGACGAATTTCTTGGTATTTCGGGAACTCCTCGCGATACGAAGGGTTAAGAATTTGTATTCGATTGAGATGTTATTAAATATTCTTTTTACTCGGGTCACTCACTGATGTTAAGAATTACTTTTATATACACTAACGACAACGGGGCAAATTGGATGTGCAAACTGAAACCCCGAATACCAAAAACATCATGACCTAGATCAAGCCTAAGATAATACAAACTCATTGAACCAGGAGCTATTCAAACTTTTCATATGTATGTTCAAAACGGCGCGCCCTGCTCAGCTCTCTATCTCTGTCTCTTTTTCTTTCCTTTTTCTTTTCTTTTTTTTTCTTTTGTTTTTCTTTTTCTTTTTCTTTTTCTTTTCTTCAATGGAGTGAGGAGCAAAGCTAAAGCGGACGTGAAAATGACAAGAAGTTGAAACAAAATGACAGAAATACATACCTCAAGACAGGATACTCTCATTCTAGATCTTAGGAAGCGCAGATCGGTATCTGCAAACAAAATAACTCTCCCCTAATCATAATAAAGGGCGCAGATTCTTTTCATACACGCGATGGATGCCAATCCAAATCCGCCGTTAAAATCTCTCTGGCCCCCTACGGCATCCTCAAGAAGCTATCCTGGAGCCGTCGCGCCAAAAGAATCCCATGAAGTTCAGCGTCGCTTACACTCCCATTGAACGTGTTGTGCCTGAAGAGATCGTCCGGCATCATGCCACCCATGATGCTCCTGCTGATGGAACACAACACGTCCTCATCGACAAATCCACCTACAGGATGCCATCTCACCAGTCCTCCCTCGACCTTGTTGGTCCAGGTCGTGTTCCCTTTGAACTTTGCGTGGAGGTATGTGATGATATAGTGCAGGTACCAGAATTTCAGGGATTGACGTGGTGTATTTGCAACCACACGCAGGGTACGGTCCTAAAGGAATCGTTAGAAAATAGTAGTTCACCTATGACTATGTTCAGAGTGGGGAGTACTTACATCCCACCACCCACTGCCATGAGATCTGTATCTCTCGTCCACCAAATGGAGTGTACATTGCATATTTCCATGCTGATCTACGTCGGTGTCGGGTACAATCGTCATGGCTCCTAAAGCCAAGGCACTGGCAAGCCAGGAGGGGGCTAGAAGACCTAGTAGAAGAGATTTGTTGATGACTATTCGACAAGGGAACTGCGCATTTATACAGACCATTTTCACCATCCCATATGTCAGCGCCGGTTTGGCCGAGGAGAAAATCCAGGCTCTTGCATTCGAGGTCCCTCGGGACTAGAGGACTCCGCATTTGTTGGAAACTGTTCCCGTCTGACCATCCTATATTTTCTGCCCTAAAGACACACTCTGCTTGGTCGGGTGGTACTGCCGCTGGCATACCACGCGGGGTGTTTCTGTCCATTAGAACTTTGAAAATCCCATCTACGGACGAGATAGCAGTCCAATCTTTGCTTCCAACATGATTGTCCCTATTCGTTTGCCAAACTCTGTAAAGCTTGTCCTCCAGGTAGGTTCGGCGTGTAGTTAGGACAGCTAGTTGCTCAAGCTCATTCTTGTGGTCTCTATACATGGCCTCCATCTCCTTGTTGAAGTAATCCCGAGCAATCTTGTGTCTAGCCAATAGATTGATGATGCCTTGACGGTAGCATAGAAAATAGTCAAGGTCGCATCGACGATTTGCTATCCACTTGTCAAAGTACTGAGATAGGCTTGGCCTGTCCCTAACGGCCGCAACGCGCTCGTCGTAGGCTTCGCGGGATCTTGTCTTCGCGTTCTCTAGCAGTGCTTGACGGGATTCGGACATGAGAGCGGAATAATAATCTCGAAATGATGGCTGTATGTTTCTTTTCTGGTACTCGACTAGTGGGCCCATGATGGTTAGATGCGTGGTAATTAATATCTGATAAAATAATAAAAGATAGTAACGGTGCTTGTCTTGAAGGGTCTTCTCTGATCTTGCGGACTTGAGAGCGAAGAAGAAAATTACAGAGAAAAGAAGAACCCGGAGACATTGCGCTTCACCTAAACCTGTTACCTGCATCAACAAAGTTATGATAACCTTTCATCCCTATCAACTTACCAAAAAGTGACGTATCTAGAGTATGGGTCGCGGATCTAGATAAATGGTACACAGGCACTAGTGGGGAATAATCGAGTTCTTAAGTTTTAATTGGCTGAGCTTATTTTAGTTGGTTAACTTACCAAACTTTGACCCATGAGCTTAATTCTCCCATTTCGCGCTAGCCATGTGCTCCCCAACTTCCAAGTTCCAACTACGACTTCACTTGGGGTGATAAAAGATATGACTATTACGGTATCCCACATATACGCACCTTCTCAGGCCCTTCTTACTCACCCTAAAATAAAGACCCACCATTTCCTTCCGAACAGCGACATAACGCTCTCAAATTCTCTTTCACGGCCCGATCGATTGAACGCTGGATACGCTGTAACTAGCCTTGAGCTGTCGGTTACTGGCTCGGATTCTATCGGACGTCGGGCCAAATTTTTACGTCATTAAATTGGTCGGAGGGGCTTATTTTACTTTTTACTGTTTTGGCATTGCTATCAGATCTTCATTTGGATTTTTTAGGGCATCCACTGATGATATCTCGGTTGACTTCCCTTCTATTTTTAAGAAAATAATAATAAATCATAAACAACGTCCCGTTCCTCTACAGAGATAGAACTATGACGTTGTTTATATAACAGCACAGATACACACACATTCAAGCACCCCCTCCCCCACGCAGTTAAGAAACACATTCCATCGTCCCAAAAACAGCCAGGAAATAACCCAACCCACAAAAATCATTATCAAGTCCTCACAAATCCCGCCCCCATCCGCTCCCGGACGCCAACGATCCCGCTTAACTTCCCAATACTCCTCTCCGCAAGCCGCCAAAACCTTCCATCCGCAAAACCCCGTAATATCGAACATACCCCGTACCATAAAGACATCCCCTCCGTCGCTTCCAGTGATTCCGCTATGTACGCAGTACTAACAACTAGTTACCACCGGCAGGTTTCGGAATAAGGATTTCTCGGGGCCAAATTCTGAAAGCAGTTCGCGGGAGACATTACTTTGCGCATTCGTTGCGGAAAGCCGAAACGGAAACACGGGACCGGAGAAACTTTCTTCCACCACGCGCTGTTACACCAGCCAACGCCGAGGAAATTCTCAACACCCTTCAACCTCGCACAAGAGTCAAGACGCAGCTAAAAAAAAATACGTCCCGTAGTTAGTTAGTCACCGCAAGCCTCGAAATAACACATTCACCCCAAGTGAAAAAACAAAACAAACCAGAAAAAAAAAAACAGAAAAAAAGAAAAGGCTCAGATGCTAAGCACCCCTGGTGGGACTCGAACCCACAGCCTTTAGATTAGAAGTCTAACGCCCTACCATTGGGCTACAGGGGCTGGTTTGTTGGGAGGGAGGCGGGGGTTGTGCTTTATCTGCCGTGGGTGGGTTGTAGGGGATAATCATAGGGGTCTGGATCTCAGCTGGCATCCTGGTCCTTGACTTCGGGGGAGGGTGGGTTTTCGCTCCTGGTGGGAAATGGGTTCTTGGATATCTGAGGCAGAGGGTTGGATTGGGGTAGGTTTTCGTTTTTCTCTTCTGTAAGTTGAGTGGTGAACTGGTCCCGAACTTCGGCTGCCTGGGAATATATATCAAACCCGATGGATGGTGATACAGCCAAAACAATATCCATATCATCAATCAAATACACCCCCACAGCATCCAATTCCAATCCAGCCCCTCCACAGATCCAAAAGTAAACATACCGCGCAAATGAGAACCCTGCTAATAACCCCCTTGCTGTTCCTGTCCACAGCAGGAAACATCAAGATATATAGTTCTACCCCATTGCTCACAAGGTTTGAATGGATGGATGGTTTCTCATATTATTCATGAGCAGAACGTGACAACATCAACCTGCAATAGACACAAATAAATAATAAGAAAAGAAACCAAAATGAGCTTGTATCTACCAAATATAAGAGTAGCATAAATATAAAACATGAGAGGAAATTAAGGAAAAAAGAAAAGAAAAGAACATGCCTCCTATCCCCTCCCCTCTTCCTCCCCCTCCCTTCACCCGACAAGAAAATAAAACAAAACCAACAAATGTAGAAAAGCATACATAACCAAGGTATATAAAACAATATGAAACAAAAACAAAACCACCCTAACAGGGTGAGTGAGGAAAACCCCCGCCAACCAGACCACCTATGCCTGTGCCCATGCCCATGCCCATACCCATGCCCAGTATTTATTCAATAGTTATCCAAACCGACTGAAAACCCCCATGCCATCCCATCCCAATCACGCCCATGTAATCAAGTCCATACATAAACATAATTACCATGCATGCCATGTCCATCCCAATGAACCCAATCATCCAACCAACCAGCCAGCCAGCCAGCCAGCCAGCCAGCCGGACCGAACGACGCAATCCATCGAAGAAACGCGAAACCAGCAATAAAAGAAAAGACCAAGGAAACCCCCTCAAAAAAAAAAAAAAAGAAACAAAAAGAAAGGAAGAACCAAAGCACCATAAATAATGAAGCGGGAAATTGTCAACTAGAATCTCACAATAGAAAAACAGAAAAAAAAAACCCCTACACGAAAACAACAACCTCCCCTCTCTCATTCCTCCTCAGCCTCAACGCCCTCCACAGCTCCTTCTCCTCCTCTCCCTTGCGATCCCGATCCCGATCCCGTCCCCGTCCCCTGCCACGCTCTCTACCCCTCCCTCTCTCCTTATCCTTATCTTTCTCCCGCTCTCTCTCCTCACTCCCCACTGACGACGGATAGTCCCGATGATACCTCTTCAGCGCCTTGTGCACCGAACACCCCCTCTCCGAATCCGGCCCCTTGGTTACCAATGACAAGAACACGCTCGCCCGCTCCCGCTGCGCTAGCTCCTGGCTACTGCTATCCTCGCCATTGCGGTACACGACGAGCTGGTTCGACGTGTTCTTGCTGCCACGGCTGCTAACGCGGCCGCCAGCGCCATTAGGCGAGCGAGAGCGGTTCTCCGAATCACTACCCTCGCCATGCGGATGGTATTCTAGCGCCTTGAGGCGGCGGGGCGCGCGCTCGTCGTAGTGTCCGTTGCTGTTACTGCTGCGCCGTTTTGTCTTGGTTTCGACACGGTGGCGTTTCTTGGTTTTGCGAGCCGGGATTAGGGCGCGCGAGTTGCTGGCGGGCTCGATGCCGTCGGATGACGAGCGACGGCGTGTGCGGACTAGGGCGCGGCTGGAGGGGTCGTTGCTCGTGCCGTTGAGCGAGGCGACGCCTACGCCACCTGCGCCGCCTAGGATGGATATGATGCGGCCGGCCCGGCCCTTGATAGCGATGCCAAGACCGTTTTCATTGTTGCCATTGCTGGCGGATTCCTTGTCGGCGCGGCGGGTGCGTTTGATCGGGGACACGGGGTCCTGATAGCGGGAGCGGGCATTCTCGGGGGCATCGTCGCTTGCGTAGTCGCGGTCAGGGGTAGGAGAGTAGTCGCGGCGCATCATGCGTTTCAAGTCGCCAGTGAGACCGGAGTGGTTTAGGGAGGGGGTTGCCAGGTTGGCCCTCACACTCGAGGGAGGCGCATCGGTCATGGGGATGTCGTCTTCATATCTCGAGTTCGCAACGGTGGGGTCGATTTCCTCAATATGTCCGCGTTTGCGCTTCTTATCGCCTGTTCCTGTGATGCTATTTGTGCGAGAGTGGTCGGGCGAAGCGTTCCGGTCTTGATGGGAGTGGTCCTTGTTCCGTCGGGGTGCGGGGGTGACGAATGCCATTGAGGCGGTGGATTCATTTTCTGGCGCATTCTGATAAAAGGGAGCCTCAAACGAATCAGCACCGTACGAAAAGCCATTTTCCTCGTATGCCAGGTCGTAGACGACCTCATCATCGCGTCCATTGTCCAGCTTGGCCAGTTCCTTGGGGGCATTGAAGAGGGGAGGTGCATGTTTTACCATAGTCATAGGCTCTTTGGAGCCGCCCACGGATAGTTTCGAGGCATTGGGAGTGTCAGCGGCCACGAGGAAATCGAACACATTCACGGGCTGGCCAGAGGCGTCCTTTCCGGATTCCAGTTGGGGGGTGGCCGGGGGAGGACTAGGAGCATATGGCGGAACCTGGTTGTTAGGTCTAATGTCGTCGATATCAGGGGCATCTTCCACGTAGGGGTGACGGGGAGGTTTGGAGATCGGGGTTTCAACGATGGTAACGGACTTGGTCTTTTTTGGCTTTCCAGGTTTTTCCTTGTAGAGGGCGCCTTGGTATTTCTGGGCTTCGGATATGCATGACTGTGGGGGAAAACGCGTTAGTTTGTGCTTTGACAGGCCATAATCGCACGAATGAAATTCAGAAACCATCAGGCAATTGGGTTTAAACCGTCACTGCCCAATGACACCGGCAGACAGCACCACGCAAATGCGACCATTGGAGGTTTCGCCGATACTAGGGGAGAAGTTATCGTGGTAGCCAGGCGAATCATCGACCCGTCGCATTCCGCTGGCTGGCGCGCACACAAAACCTCATCCGCCAAACACGACATTGAGACGACAACAAGATGACAGCAATTGCATTGAGTGAGGTATATCCAGGGAGAAACGCGTGATATGCGAACAGATAGAGCAGCAGAGTAGAGACAGGACAGCGTACCGTATGGGACCTATACGAGGTGCCAGGGAATTCCGTAGAGCAGTCTAGACAGCTGAGGTTGGCGCGACATTGATTGCGATGGGAGTCGGTCTTCTTCTTGGTGAGGACATCGCCGCAGCCCTATGGTAGGAGAAAGCGGTTTGGTTAGCATATTTTTTTCTTATTATCTTTGCAGGGCTTCTCCGCTCCACTCAGGCCCAGCACCGGCACCGGCACCGGGATGCAAGCCAGCAACGCCAGGACGGAGGCCTCAATAGGAGCAGGAATCGGCACGAACGGGGAAGAGGAATGCAAAGCAAAGCCAGGACAAGACAGGACAGGAATAGGGCATTGAGGGCCAACTCACCTCGCATTGAAACGAGACCATGATCTCAGGACGAGAAGCCCACTTTGCAGCAGCAGCAGTCGCAGCAGAGAGTGATTCGGCAGCGAGTGCAAGTGCCCAAGCAGAGACGAAGAGTCGGTGAGGCGGACGGCGGGTTTGGCGGGTTTGGCGGGTTTGGCGTTGGGTAGGAGAGAGGGCGGATGAGGCTGATTGGGAGAGAAAAGCAGGGCGAGCAGCCAGGAGAGAGCGAGTGGCACAGGGACAGCCAGCACAGAGACGGCGGGGAGGCGACAACCACGGTGTTCTCTGTTAACGCAGAACTACGCAAATGATAAATATCAAGAAGATGCTCTGGTGATAATCATCCGTCTTGTTCTCTCGTTTTCTTCTGCGTCTTTCTGCCTTTTTCTGTCCTGCCGTATGGTGTCTGTATCGCGGTAAAATACCCGTAATGCCCTCCGCCTATCAGACACTGCGACCGCCTCCCGCTAGCCGCATTGGGGGTCCGCGGCGGGTAAAACGTTGAAATCGCGACCAGTCTGCCGGTAATGTCCCCGTACGGCAATACGGCCAATACAAGCAACGATATCAACATCAACATCAACATCAACATCAGCTCAGCTCGAGGAGACTGGAGGAGACTGGAGGAGACTGATGAGACTGATGAGACTGGACGGGTGTCTGCTATTTGTGAGTGGAGAGGGTGCACCACACACTCCAAAATCAGGGAACCCAAGACAGCCCTCAGATAAATCACGTCGTCAACACATCTGACCAGCCCCGACTCCTCCCCTGCACAAATACGACAAACACTCCCCCCCTCGCATCCTCGACCTAGACCTTGGATGCCCCCTGCGACACCGTCTTCCCCGCGCCCGCATCCTAGCCAAGCATATCATAACATCAACAGCGCGTCCTTCCTGACGCTGCGATGCGACGACGTTGCGCGCAACACACCTAACTAACCTACAAAGCGGGCGCGGAATAGGGGGAGGGGCTGTTTGTTATCGATAACTGATGAACCCGGTCGCAGCCAGCCATCCACACCCAAATCCAAATCCCCTTCGTCATCACTCACCGTCTCGGTGCATGGGTGGGTGGGATATTCACTTTAGCCCCGTCGCGTTTACAATTCCAGGCGCAGGAATGGTCTTTTGTTTTCTTTCAGCTTCCAGGTAACTTAACGAGGTTGCAGCCTGTTGACATTTCGCATTCCTCCTTCTTTTCAATCCAGTGCTGTGTATCCCCTTATCTCCATGTATCTCTAACTTAACTCACGCCCAAAACCCGAATCCGATACCCATCATCCATGTATCAGAATGAATTATGTAACTTCCCGACGGAGTATTTGGCCGTGAAATAAAGAAAAGCGCCTTTGCGCACCGAATCAGAACGCGCGCAGCCTGTCAGCACTAACAGCCCGCATCT